TAAGTCACTTAAGTCACGGTCGAATAGTACGATATGTCRTGTCTTTACACAGGCCCGTAAGCTGCTTTACAGTGGGTCGATCGGATTCGTTTTTTTTTCATAATGCCGACCTAAATTAGATGTTTGACTAAATTAATTCAATACACAGGTACACTGTATAATTACTGGCTGCTAGAATAGTCAGAATGAGGAGTTCATAAGCCAAAATACTGTCTCACAGACAGTTCACAGGAAAAGAATTTTAAAATAGAACAATAAAAAAGAGAAACATCGGACCTTTTGAATTCCATTGCTTTGGATCAATCACGATATCAATAAATATTAGAATTATAACAAGAAGAGTGCATGGTATTGACGCAGAATTATGAAGCGAGAAACCTGCATGCAAAAATTGTCATGGAAAGCTTTGAATTCAATTATTAATGATTCCTCACGACGTCTACGAGAAAAAAAATGATTGATTATTTCCCAGTTCTTTAGTTTACTCTGGTGTGCAGGCATCTTGTTTAATGCTCTTCCAAACTAGCATCCTCGACGACGGATGTCGATAACTTCATTTTGCATTGAAACTCAAGAGATTGGCCATCTTAATCCATCAATAGTGGTGGCAACTAGCGGCAAACTGGTGTGAGCTGCGTCGGTGTTTCTAAAGAAATAGTCGTGTAAAAAGATAAATTTAACACCGTAAAAAAATATGTCGGAGCAAAGAGCAAAAGGAAGGATTTAAACGTTAACACGTTTCAAACGTCAGTAAGTTTTAACTTATTTCACCTAATTTTTTTACGGTGTTAAATTTATCTTTTTTCACAGCATATTCCATCAATAGCCTTAGGYTAATACTATATAGTGTATAATACAAAATGCAACCGACAGTACGATTGTGCAATAACTGATAATAGCTTTTCCTATGACACCATTGATTAAGTTCTTAAAAGTGAGATTTTATAAGTGTCTTTATCGGGCTATAACGCAAATCCACGTGGCTGAAATAAAGGCGAACTTTATTTAATTCCTAGTCCTCACATTATGAATAGTTTATATGTTTTCATAACAGTTCTTTGGTTATCATCCCCTTGCTATTCACTTCAAAGACAAAAAACGTCTCTAATAATATCACCAAGAAAAGTTTTTAAACTTTTTTTGTGTTTATACTCCTTGCGAACTTCATTCTGTGTTCTTAATCTTGACAAAGAAAGARTAACTACCGTTCGAAACTTTTACATCAAGACAGTGGGAAACATTTTCTCTAAACTCGGCAGTCTTTTGTCCAACCAAACAACCAAGAGCACTAAAGAATGCTGCTTTAAGTGCGTACAAAACAAGGAATGCTTGTCGGTGAATACCATTGCTTTGGATCAATCGCGATATCAATGTGAGCTTCTTAACTGGGCCAGGACGGGATTTGAGAACCATCTTGTACCAAAACCAAATTCCAAGTTTATGCAGATGCAAGTAATATGTGCTCTTATATATATGTACCTGAGAATTGAGCAAATTCAAAATAGTTTAAAAGTCATACACTTGTGGCAATTTTCCCTTATTTGGAAGCCGATTATTGTACCTGAAAATAACATTATGCAACTAAATAGGCTTACAATATAATTCTATCATTTTAGAGWGCTTGTTCACCGTTTAACCCTTGTCAAAAYGGCGGACAATGCACTGAAAAGGATGGAGGAACAAACTATASKTGTGCATGCCCTGCAGTTAAYATTTTTGGAAGGAAGTRTGAGCTTCTAAGTAAGTACAGAGCATATTCGTATTTTGTTCATGTAGGAATTTTAAAGAACCTTTCTCATAATCAACATTTAGGGGAAATATAAACAACTAAGCGTTTGCATGGAGAATTTCGATTATTAATTAACATCTTTTCCGCCATGAAAAGTTGCAACTCATATCAAAGAATTGCCCCAGAAAAGTTGTACTTCGTTTAACAGCCAWATATGGTAATCTTATCTTATTTGGAAGAACGATAGGACTAGTTGTTGGCGACTGATTTTCTCGACTTTTAAAGCTTGAAATCGTCTGAAACTTGCAGATATTATAGCGAAAACACTCGAAAATCGGCCATTTTGGTGTTACCATATATGGCATGGATTCATTAAAGGAAGGTCAAACCTAAAAAGCACAGAGATCCCGCACGAATGACATACAATTCTTTGATTTAGCGTGAAAGCTAAAATAACAATAGCCGCAATCCTTTGAAGCCTGTATGAGAGAGGATTTCGTATGGCTGTGCAACGGCACGGATCACAACACGTCCCTAGCCCTAACCCAAACGCGGCCTTCCACCCCCCCTCCCCCTCCCTTAGTCTATAGCTAATACAAAGGCAAATACAATTAACTATATTGTTTCGAATATTTTGCCTGACAACTTTGATACCTAGTTAGACATGAAAGTGTACTAATGTATGAAAGTGAACTAATAATACTATTAATAATAATAATAATATTGCATTTATCTATATAGAATGCGTGCTATTCGACTTTGAGACTGGACGACTTGACGGCTGGACCCTGACAGGAACAACATTCAACAATCAGCCAACATATGGAGATAACCCTTGAGCTCGTGGGCGGCCATCATCGAACCTCAAAGGAAACTGGTTCATAGGAACAGTTGAAAACAGACCCAGTCCATCTCACCCAGTACAACTGCAGGGAGATGGCCCTACAGGAACTGCCACCTCGCCGCTATTTGTAATTCGAGGTTCAAAACTGACGTTTCTAATTGGTGGTGGCTCTGACGTTAATACTGAACGACTCGAATTGCTGATTGGTGGAAATGTAGTTGCCAAGGCAGCGAGTACAAATAACATCGATACCATGGAGCGACAAGAGATCGATATGTCGTCTTTTAAAGGCCAGGTAGCTCAGATTCGATTAGTTGACGATTCGTCAGGTCTTTGGGGTATTCTCAACGTTGACCACATCGAGGACAGCTATTGTACAAAGTAAATCATGATCGTCAGTTTTCATGATAAACGAAGATTGGTAGTCAACTAGATTGAAACTAGATTGAGTAGGCCTTTTGCATGAAACGGTCACATGGTATTAAATCCGCCATACTGGATAGCAAAAGAATGCGGTAAACAGCGGATTTAKTACCATGTGACCGTTTCATTCAAAACGCCTATTCAAGCAATACTCTATTTTCGAATTTAAAGCAAATAACCACCGTTTTATTGGACAGAAAACCGAAAACAAAATTGGAAAGCACGAGAAAATATCGTTATTACAACAGCTCTAACAATTTACCGCGAGTTGAGGCTATTGTACAACATAAGCTTATTATTATGCTTCATTAGTGATATTTAAAAAACGAGTAGGAGTGTTTCATCGTGAGATATAAACACGAGGCCGAAGGCCGAGTGTTTATATCCACGATAAAACACGAAYTACGAGKTTTTTMAATBACTTCTAAAACCCAAACCTAAGAAACTACAATAAACATGAAATGAATAAAAAAATACATGGCGGCTATGACGTAACTTGCAAGCCAAAAAGATCCATGCGAACAGTGCACGTCCGTTCAATATGAAATATTTTGAGCCGGGAAATAAAACTGGACTCTAAAAACTTTACCTATGGCATCATTCAAGAACTATTCTCTGATGTTTTATGCATTTATATTTTAAGTGAGTAGACCTATCCTCCACACACGCTTGGATGAACACAAAACAATAACATGGCCCTAAAACCTTATATGAGTATCTCTATTGGGTAAAAAGATCACACACGTGACTAAAATGAACGTGAGCTTCATTAAAGTTCAAGTCTTCGCATTATCAAAATTTCATAAGCTTTCATAACCATTTTCATTAATGCCTAGCTATTCTACGCCTCTGATAATGTTACTCAGAAACGTTTTGAGTCTTTTGCTGAGCTTTTATTCCTTGCGCACTTCACTTTCCTTTCTTAATCTCGACAAAGAAAGCAGTCAAATTATAGTTCGAAACTTTTACAATAGTGCAGAGGGAAAAGTTCTCTCTAAACCCGGCAGTCTTTTGTCCAACCAAACAACAAAAGACACCAAAGAATGCTGCTTCAAGTGCGTACAAAACAAGAAATGCTCGTCAGTGAACACCATTGCTTTGGATCAATCGCGATATCAATGCGAGCTTCTTAACTGGACAGGGACGGGATTTGAAAATAATTTAATACCAAAACCAAATTCCAAATTTCTGCAAATGGAGGTTAGTATTTGAAAGCTGAAATACAAAGAATACGATTTTCCATAATCTATTAGCTAACTGACCAAATATTTAATGAGGATTCCAGTTCAATTCATTTTAACTTTATTAACGATATACAAACATTATAAATATACAATATAAAACTGTCAGGGAAAAAAAAA